TGTGTGTGTGAGAGAGAGAGTGTGTGAGAGTGTGAGAGAGAGAGTGTGTGAGAGAGAGTGTGTGAGAGCGCGTGTGTGTGAGCGCGCGTGTGTGTGAGCGCGCGTGTGTGTGAGCGCGCGTGTGTGTGAGAGAGAGTGTGTGTGAGAGAGAGTGTGTGTGTGAGAGAGCGCGCGTGTGTGTGTGTGTGAGAGAGCGCGCGTGTGTGTGTGTGTGAGAGAGCGCGCGTGTGTGTGTGTGTGAGAGAGCGCGCGTGTGTGTGTGTGTGAGAGAGCGCGCGTGTGTGTGTGTGTGAGAGAGCGCGCGTGTGTGTGTGTGTGAGAGAGCGCGCGTGTGTGTGTGTGTGAGAGAGCGCGCGTGTGTGTGTGTGTGAGAGAGCGCGCGTGTGTGTGTGTGTGAGAGAGCGCGCGTGTGTGTGTGTGTGAGAGAGCGCGCGTGTGTGTGTGTGTGAGAGAGCGCGCGTGTGTGTGTGTGTGAGAGAGCGCGCGTGTGTGTGTGTGTGAGAGAGCGCGCGTGTGTGTGTGTGTGAGAGAGCGCGCGTGTGTGTGTGTGTGAGAGAGCGCGCGTGTGTGTGTGTGTGAGAGAGCGCGCGTGTGTGTGTGTGTGAGAGAGCGCGCGTGTGTGTGTGTGTGAGAGAGCGCGCGTGTGTGTGTGTGTGAGAGAGCGCGCGTGTGTGTGTGTGTGAGAGAGCGCGCGTGTGTGTGTGTGTGAGAGAGCGCGCGTGTGTGTGTGTGTGAGAGAGCGCGCGTGTGTGTGTGTGTGAGAGAGCGCGCGTGTGTGTGTGTGTGAGAGAGCGCGCGTGTGTGTGTGTGTGAGAGAGCGCGCGTGTGTGTGTGTGTGAGAGAGCGCGCGTGTGTGTGTGTGTGAGAGAGCGCGCGTGTGTGTGTGTGTGAGAGAGCGCGCGTGTGTGTGTGTGTGAGAGAGCGCGCGTGTGTGTGTGTGTGAGAGAGCGCGCGTGTGTGTGTGTGTGAGAGAGCGCGCGTGTGTGTGTGTGTGAGAGAGCGCGCGTGTGTGTGTGTGTGAGAGAGAGAGAGAGAGTGTGTGAGTGTGTGTGTGTGAAAAACAGAAACCAGCAATACGAGACAGAGGAGCTGATCAATACATGAGTGTTTAATTTGAATGTAAATGCAGATTAGCAGAACATTTGAACGCGTTCCAGTCGAGAGAATAGTTCTGTGTCTTTGGTTTAATAAAGAACTGTTGACTGAACACACAGAGCCTGTCTGATGATGCTGAGATGTTTATAATGTGATCATTGAGTTCTTCTCCAAACAGCGCCACTGCAAGCTCCGCCCTCAGCTACTTCACCATGGAAACCATGGCATCAGTCATTCTGCCACTGAATCGTTTAGTTTGAATAAAATTCTAAATGACTCTTCACGATTCATTGCTCACTATGAAACAATCATTTAAAGGAGACATATTATGCCCCTTTTTACGATATGTAATTTAAGCCTCTGGTGTCCCCAGAATATTGTCTGTGAAGTTTCAGCTCAAAATACTGCACAGATCATTTATTATAACATTTTAAAAATACCTATTTTGAGTGGAAGCAGAAACACTTGTTTTGCGTGCCTATCTCTTTAAATGCAAATGAGCTGCTGCTCCCCGCCCCCTTTTCCAGAATAGAGCTGTGCCATTACAGCTCGGACCTGCTAAAAACATCTGTTTTGGTTCTGATTATCATGTTTATCACGCTGAAATCATGCGTTTTAAACCATATGAGTTTAAACTTCTGATATAATACACACACACTCACACACAGATACACTCACACACACCGACACACACACTCACACACAGATACACACACAGTCATACACACTTACACACTCACACAGACACACACACTCACACACACACACACACAGACACACACACTCACACACAGATACACACACAAACACACACACACACACAGACCTCTTGCAGACGTACTGCTGGTTTACCTACAGTAAGAATTTTTAACCAATTAATCGCCTACTTTCATTTGATGCATGTTTAAAAAAAACACGCTAAATGTAAATTTTTATGTTTTTGAGAGGAAAAATCAAACAGATAAGTCACGTATAAGTCACTGTGACGAGGGGGGCGGGGTCGAGAGCCGTGGGAACGGAGCGAGGCCGGTGGAGTTAATGGATAATGAGCGACACCTGCACCACTCACCGGTCTCGAGTCTCACGGAGGAGCTCCGGAAGGATAAAGGAGGAGTGACGACAGGGAAAGACGAGAGAGGACCAGGCCTGGATTTTATTTTGTGTTTTGGTTTCGTTTGTGCGCGACAGTCGTCCGCGAGGGGCTGTCGTGCTATTTTGTGTTTATTTTATTATTAAAGTTTCTTTGAATGTTCGCCGGTTCCCGCCTCCTTCTTCCCGTGCCTACGAACGTTGTTACAGTCACATTTTATTACAATCGGAAATATTACCGGCAGGCCTAAATAAAGCCCATATTCAGTGCAAACAGCAGCCTGCTCGTTATCAAAATAAAATACAGCCAAACATATAAAGTTACACCAGTCAGTTTCAATGGTCTGTATTATAATTATTGAGCACCGGTCCACTGTGGCACATTTATGCTCATTATGATTTTTCCCCAATGATATTGGAACACGCGTGAAGTACAAAGCCTAGTTTATCTAATGAATAATATTTTAGCTTCAAATACATCGCGAATATGGAAACATTTGGATTTGTTCTGAATGAGAGGCAGGCTATGAGTCCAACTTTACTTCAGTTTAGTTTTAAATGAATCTGTTTTGGCTTGTTTATATAGGCCTATTATTATATTATATAGGCTACTACAATCATATATTTATTCATTAGAAAGCAATAAATTATATATTTTTAATTCTTGCTCTGTTGTGGTTGAATTGAAAGGATTTGTTGTGCAGTGAGGGGAACTTAAAGAGCCTGTATGTTAAGTGTTTATAATGTCGGTTCATTATAACATGTGAAAATCCGTCTTAATATTGT